AATCAACTCTTCACGGAAAGTATTTCAAAATTTTTATGAGTGAACATGAATTTCTACTTTTATATTACCTTAGATTAAGAAGAAAGAATGTTTTCACGCGTGCAAAAACATATATACACAACATAGATGCCACAGTCGACTTAGTTAAGCGGGGTACATTCGCACTTACCTTCTTATTACCGGCAATGGTCAAAGCTGATACTATGAAGAAAATTGCTGGAGTTCTGAAACTTTTCCGCGTTCAGCAGCTCACAGATATGCCTTCCGTCATGTGAAACCGCAGCAAAATTTACTGAATAACATTCTTGGTAACTAATACATCGAAAAAAACACCCCATAGGCTCGGAGACCAGAATAGAAGAATTTAGTCGCTTTACAGGATTCCTCACAAAATAAGCGTGTCGTTCTCCTCGTTTGTCATCTCCATTGAAGTGTTTAGCGCCGAGGAAAGCGTCAGTACTCAGTGGTAATGACAGCAGAAGGGTAACAAGTAATTTACTGCTCTCCATCTTCCAGCGACAGAAAGAAAATCGCTTATTTTAAAGGAAACAATCACAGGAACACACTTTCAATGTATTGCATCCGCTGTACCATTTCAAATTTGCAATTTACCATCAAACCACTGAAATAATTCTTTACCGTTAAAACATAAAAAGTACCGCACGCAAAAACAGGCATCAAATCAATAACGTACCGCACACCAAAACAGGTAAGAAAGCATTAGTTATTGTTAATTAGTTACTCTTGAATGAAACTTAAGTTTTATTTAAACGGTTTATTTATGAGAAGCTATATTAATTTACATAACTAACCAACCCATGAAGATAATTGCAAAGAAAACGAGAATTTTATGTCTAAAATATGCTTGAAAGAATCCCCTGAGTAGATTCTTCATAACTTGAAGGCCCGACGAGAACGGATGGATTTATCGGAGTTCCTCTTCTTATGTTAAATGTGGAACCAAAATAATCATTGCTTATTCCTAAGTCCCCCGGAGATTTCCCAAAACGAAAGACTTTCACAAGAGTTCCTAAAATAAGGCCAAAACATGGGAGTGAGGTGTTTTGAGGTGTAATTACTTGATGAGAGTGTTCCGATCGCGTCTTTGACATTTCTTTAAGTCGAAACTAACCTGCTGTGACTAAATTAAAGTGTTCAGACCCTACAGACGTATATAAATGTGAACAAGGTGCAGTCTGATTCAACCTAGTTCTTATACATTCCCAAATTTTTGTGAGCTCTCTGTGGACAAAATACTGGAATAATAGAATCGGAGTATATCCAGTAAAAGAATTCAGAGAAGTAAACCTTTCTAGCTAATGTCGAAAAAAAGGTGGATTGTCTTTTCTTTGTTATTACAATGAGACGAGAGAATTTAAATTGCAGTTTTAATTCTCTTGAATTAAAACATGTACATTCTTCGTGTTTACCGAAAATTTCAAGAACCGACAAAGGAAGAAAAAGATGTGTTTGTTGAGTCTAACGGATATTTTTTAGTGGATTCAAAGATTTTCTTTTTGCTTTAGAATAGAATAGAATAGTATAGTTTATTTAATGTCGAAGACGTAGGAGGTGCTTGCACAAGATCTAGTTTCTGAGCCATCAAATTCAGAGGCCCACTGAACAGTTAAAGTTTAAATCTTCGGCTTTCAAAATCAGACGATGATGAGAAATTTTCTACAGTTATTCTCAAATTGTATTTCTTTACCATTACCAAACGCCCTATATAAACATCTACGTCGTTCCTTCAATCAAATATTATGTCCTCTTTGGAATGGAAAAAAAAATTGCAAATTGAGGTAAATAACCTACCTTTATGCCTCTATAAAGGACTTGGGGATCTTCAATGAAATTGTTCAGTTCAGTAAACCGATCAGAGTTGCTGAGCTGACATTTAAACATCTTTTTTTTTTCACCGGGTCCAAAGTTGTATGACAGACACGAAGTTTCCTCCACACAATGCAGTCGACAAGAACTCTCAGAATCCACTTCAATTTCCTTGATAACACTTCCGTTAAGCCGTCGTCCTCTTATTTCTCTGGCAAAGTTAACGGCTTTGTAGTTGGATGTTGTCAATCGACTTTCTCCGTTTGTTAAAGTAATCACTAAGGAAGTTAGAAAGAGCGTTGCGAACATGTTTTCGTGAGAAATGTTTCCAATTACGGTGATCTTGAAGATTCTAACTCTTTTTCATCAATTATTTACACAAAACCTCAGTACAAGTAGGAAAACATCATGTTGATTGGTTTAAATGCTGTAATTGGCATTACAGGGCAACATTTAAATCAAACAATAACATTCTTTAATACTTATTCACGTTTTTGAAAAACGATATCATTAGCCGTTTAAGGATGATTTTCAACCAATTTTTCACTTTTAAAGAATTTCGTACGGTGCCTCTGATAAAATACGACGAGGGAAACGTTATAATTTGCACAATTCAGAAGAGTAACTTTAAAGACGTCTAGCAAAAGCTTATAAACAACATTCTATCTTGTATCCTTTGGTACAATGAACTTTCAAGGAATCAAAATGATGTGTTTTGATATTTTGAGGGAATGAATTCAAATCGTAAGAGTGAATTTCGTGGTAATGTATAAAAAAAATACGTAAAGGGAACATTAGAACCTTTTGGGACCACACACACGCACACGCATACACAACACTTATGCCGCAATCTAACTTATATAACTTATAGTTAAACCCGCGGGATACATTCGCACTTACCTTCTTGTTATAATGGTCAAAGCTGATACTACGAAGAAAATTTCTGGGGTTTGAAACTTGTCCGCGTTCAACAGCTCAGACATATGCTTTCCGTCATATGAGGCCACAGCAAAATTTACTGAATAACATTCTTAGTGACTAATACGTCAGACCCTATAAAATTATTTAAATTATGAGAACGTTCTAAATAAGGTGCAGCCTAATTAAGCTTAATGTTTTTACGTTCTCAAATTTTTTTGAGCTTTCTGTAGACAACAATACTGGAATAACAGAATATTAGCTTTAATCAGGGTATATTCAGTTGAAGAATCGAGAGAGATAGACCTTTCTAGCTAATGTCAAGATTGTCTTTTCATTGTTATTATAATTAGACAAGAGAATTTACATTGCAGTTTTAATTCTCTTGAATTAGAACATGTTAATTCTTCGTGTTCACAGAAAATTTTAAAAACCGACAAAGAAAGAAAAAAATGTGTTTGTTGAGTCGAACGGATATTTTTCTATTGATTCAAAGGTTCTTCTTTATGCTTTCTCGTCGTTTCGATTATTGCGAGAAAAAAATCATTTGTTTCAAAGAAGTATAGCTCAATACAGAACTGTATAAACTCACTACTTACAATACAGATTCTGAACATTAAGTGGTCAATTAAGGCATAAAGAGGGGTTGTGTATCGTTCTTCATAATACCTCTAATCTGAGGTACCTATATTCAGCAGTGAACCTGTATTAAGAGGTCAACCAGTCATTCCCCATGGGTTACTGCTAAAAAGGCGTTCGACTGTATCATAAGCTAGACTTTATATGTACAGTTAGGGTTTATAATCGAAGTTCATAAAGGAAATTTTGAATTCTACATATTAGGCAACGAAGAAATAATCGATTTTTTTTCTTCTCATATCAATAAGTAATGAACTTAATTTGATAGCAACAGCAGGCTCCAGGGTGATTTCTCTGTGAGTTAGATTTTGTTTGTTATATTTTTGGGGCAATGACATTGAATCTGCCGTACATAAATTTTTAGTTGTGAAAGATAACAACATCCATTTTACTCCCTCCCTGAAGCAGTTTAGCAATAAAAGTTTTATTTTTGGCGGGGTAAGTTACGTCCAAAGCGTAAGGTCCTGTGTTTCAGTAGGCTCGAAGCCGACAGCTGCAGCAGATAACACAATCCAGTTCATGATAGTCAGTAACTATGTGTGGCATGGCGCAAGCCTAATCGTATTTTATGTATATTTTCATAATAACAATCATTAATCGAGTGATAAGAAAGGTAGAGATTTTTTTTCTTTCAAACATCATTGAACTTGTTTACCTGCGATATGAGAAAGTGGAAGAAGAATAAGAATATAAGAAGAGGAGTATTATTTCTCAATAACCTTGAGTCAATTTCTCAATTTGGAAAAATAATTGTCCACCGTAACTGAACCATTTTTGATATTGGGATCGTTGCGCGTGTTTCTACGGTTCTCCTGACATTTCCAGGGATTGCAAAAAAACAGAAAGAAAAGTGTTTCAGTTAAGTGCAAAACTGGATTTCCATCCTCAGAAATTTAATCCTAGAGAAGAAGGAGACGAAATAAAATTTTAGAGACAAATCAAGTCATTGCCTCATATTTATTACAGATTGTTTTTAAAAATCAAATTTTAACTTAACACTTTTTACTATTTTTCATCTTTTTTTAATTAGGCTTAAGTTTCTACAACGTCACAGCTGTTTGGTGACCTGAAGAGTATATATAAAATTTTCTCTTGAATGAAAATTTCTGACAAAAGGCAATAAGGTATCAATTGTCACTGAACTGCACGCAACATTTCAAAGTTTACTATTACGACAACCGAGGAAAGAAAGGAAATATTTTATTGCAGATAAAGTCGCAACTTTAACAGCATTCCTTGCAATTGCAATTGTGCTTACAGCCGGGCTTCTTTTTGATTTTCACCTAAAGACTCTACCCCTTTTGTTCTCTTTTATTCTCTCTTCACAGTCTAGTTTTAAACGCAGACAGACAGCAAAGATCTCCACGTGCAATCGAAAACAGGAGATGTTTACGCGACTGAAATTCAAAGACCAGGATTTTGTGCCACATAAAACACTTAGGGAATCATTTGAGGTGACATGTTAAAATTGGCTAATCACACTTTTTAAAACTTATTAAGCGCATTTCAATATTTAGCAATTTTGTTTTTGGAAAACTGTGGTTGAAATAATGATGCTTCATTCATTGGAAGTGAAAAAAAGAAAAAAAAAAGGGTAAGCTCGATTGTGTACTGTATAACCTTAAAAGCTTCATTACATCCAAACACAGGTCACCATTCTGGCGACTGTTACTGCAGATTTGCTATGGTATCCAAAATATCACCAGATTTTGTTGATAGGATTACAATATTCATAAAGTCTTGAATCGTTATGTTTGCTTGCTCATCTTAGATTAGTCCCGACAGCAGTATTTGCGGAAATATCTCACTGGGTCCTAGGTATCTATCTGCTCTTTTTTGTGTGATCCATTGTGGTTTGTTAACTCCTGCGTATCCAGCGAAAGCAAAGGAATCTCGGTGGTTTCCCTGAAGAGGATCGGTAGCACCCAGTCTCTTGAGAGCTTCAATTGCAGGTGACATGTGCTTGGAGGCTGAATCTTGAGTAGCAACCAAAACGATTTTACTGTATCGAGAGCAAAGACACAAAATGCAAAGGGGTGAGATCAGTTAAAAATTAGAGTTAAAAATTCCCTTATCTGTTGCCAACACACAAACAAAAAACTAGCAAAGATGCCTGTATATCATAACATTCAGACATCTGGGAAAATTTATGCATGTGTATGTCTTTTTACAACAAAACCCTTCTCCCACAGCAAGAGTCTCATACTAAGCCTTCCATCTCTCTACCTAATTATCTCTCATACTAAGCCTTCCATCTCTCTACCTAGTTATCTCTCAAACTAAGCCTTGGAGTCAACCCTTTCCCGAGTATATCTAGCTACTGAAAGAAAGGCTCCAAGCGCAATTTTTGCGTTCTGCGATAAAATCATCTGCTCATTTGCATTGGGCGGTGAAACCATATTTTGCGATTCGCGGTTGTTCCGACGGAATATAGTCCTTTTTGCGGGAAAAAGCTGTGGTTCTAAAAATATTTTCACTCAGGGAAAGTGTTGACTCAAAGAATCAGTGGAGATAGCGGCTCCCGTTGACGGGTTCCTGAAAGAGATATGATTATACATAGTAAATTGGTAAGGTAGCCTCCGAGAGCAGACGCTTCTTTCTCTTTCTTTGCTTCAAAGGCGAGAAAGGAGTGGCGTGTAAAAAACAATGTAGAAAAGAGCGTCAAGCAGGATAATCGAAATGGACGGTGAAGGAAGCATTATCATCAGGTCAGGAGTATTTATTGTCTACCAAAAGTACTTAAAGTGTTGTACGTACAACAATAGTTACTACTAAGTTGTGACATACTTGCCACTTAGGTTGTTGAGGAAGTCTCTCAAATGATAGCCGCTCGAACTATCTGCATAAGTATCAAATGATCTTGCCTCAAGGAAGACACCTGTACATGAAAATATTTAGAGCATCATCTTATGATCTACCTTTCAGGTTTTTCTTTAAACCGAGGAAGTATTATGAAAAGTTCTGCGAATTTACATGTTTTATGACAAAGTGGACATCAGCTTGAAGTTGGAGTGGGGGACGACACTTGTCCATGTTGTCTGCCTAGGGCTTGCCTCTGCTCGACGGACAAACGCCGAAAAAAAACCTATGATGACAAATAGGCAAGTCCAGTTCTGCAGTCTATCAATTACCTGTTTCACCATCGACAACAACAACGTTATATCCTCTTCCTTGAGGAGAATAATCTGTCCCATCCACCTCAATGTAAGCTTTGCCGCAGGGGGATGCTCTTCCTGGATCATCGCAACCTTCGCTTGGAATACGAATGTCCAAAACACGAGCTGCAAGAATAGAAAAAGCATGAATTTCAGGTTAGGGTGATCTAGCAGTCATAAATAAAGGATTACAATACAATTTCATACGAGTTCACAAACATCGGCGGAAATCAATTGGCGAATAGCACTCGGCGGAAATTACTCAGCGTAAAGCACTCGGCGAAAATAACTCTGGTTTCACTTTATGCAAACTTATCATATAATCTTCGTGATATAGAAAATTTTCATTTCATTAAACGGTTAACGAGCCATAATTGAGAGGCTGCACATAAGTTCTGAGTCCTTTTCCTTTTTTGCAATATTCTACTACATCTTAGCTTTCATTTAATATAAGTTTCATACGACAGGCTACTCATAACGAAAAAGTCAAATCGCCACCCTTGGCGATTTGACTCTCAGAGGTGGCGAAATTTGTGGTGTCAAATTGACCGGATACCCAAATGCTTTTCATTAATAAATAGTTTCACTTTCAAGGGGCGATAAAAGAGTAATAACGGTTTTCGTACGGTCAGGGCAGAGAGGGTCGATTATTAACTCCTTACCAAAAAATAAGGATCACAATCACTATGTCATAAACAGAAAGTGGACGCATCTGCACCAATAATCTCTCCTAGTTTTTGGTTCATCAAAGGTCATTGACGGTTTCAAGTGAAAATTTCGGGCGGCTGTCTATCAACTCTGTTAACTGACCGAATTGATTCATACTCAGTGTGCGTGTAACGAGTAATGGAGAGAACGAGAGAAGCGTGCCAGAGTAGCTCCCTAAGGATTAGGTGGGACTGCGCCCGCGATATGTTGTAATAATATTTAATCTTTATTGAGCAATTAATGAGAAGGATAACTAGAAGCGAGTAAAAGCTGATACATGAAAAAATACAGCTCAGTATAATAACTCACCCGTTTCACAGTAGTGTCCAGTAAATCCTGGTTTGCAGACACACTGATAATCGTCCTGCTGGTAAATTGGTCGACAGAATAAGGCTCCATCTAGGCAGGGACTACTCATGCAGGGGCTCTATTCCACAAGACAAAAAATATTTCTTAAAATAACACAGCCCCAATAAGAACATAGTAGATGACGTGATCTGCCCAAACTCGCTCTGTCAAGGCGTGGCCAAACGCACGCGACATTTCAACGCAACATCTTGGGACATGTACATCTACACCTCGAAGCAAAATGTTACAGCGTGTTGGATGGTTTTGGATAAATTTTGAAAATGATCAAATTTTGGTTGCCGCATTTTTGAATGTTGCAAGATGCTGCGCACGTTTGGAGAGCTCCTTCACATCACCTCACAACACAATCCAACGATGTTGCCAGATTTTGCGTGGAAATGTTGCGTGCGTTTGGCCAGGCCTTTACGCGTGAGTTTGAGCAGATCATGTCATCTACTTTGGCCGAGCCTTAAATTAATTATTTCCTAAATAAACTGTAGTGCTGGGTCGGCGTGGGGGTATTTCAATCTATAACCCACCCATAAATTCTCGCGCGATTATGATTGGCTGCTTTACATTACGAGTAACTTACTTGTAGCCGTACCCTTCCCCCATGGTGAAACGGAAGCGAGGGAACGTTTACGCCTTGAACCTGACACTGATCGTGTCCCGTGACATCACTTTAACTTATGCAAAATAATGTCACTTTTTTTGTGAAGTGGCATGTGTTAGCGTGAAAGTTACCCAGATAAACAACAACATTGAAGTGAATTCATTTTCCATTTTTCGGGCAAATTTACAATTCAGCGTCCGAGTTCAAATATATACTTTGCTTTAAGAATATAGGAAAAGATTATGAGCGATTTTTGGTATAGAGTAAGAGGAGGACGATGTTCGATTAGCATCGCGCTTACGAAACTAGATTTCAACGTCCACGCGGTTTGTACTTGTATTTGTAAACAGTGCCACAGTCGTCAAAAAATTTGGATCATTTGCTGCAAATTCTCAAGGTTTTTTTAGATTTCTTTAAAAGATAGTTACGCTGCAAGCGTGAAGAAAGAGCCACTCTTTTCTCAATCGAAAGAATAGCTGCAAGAAACAACTGCTTTAATTTAAAGTTAATTATCTTCTGTGAGAGCTTTAACAGGCGGCACAATAAATATAATAAACGGCTCTTCTGGAGAAGAGAGTCGATCGATCACTGGCGCTGCTTGATATTGAAGATTTTCCATAGCCAGTCGGTAACGAGATGGAGACCGTTAACTTCGAAAAACATATATATGGCTTTCTTTCATTCTTCTTGAAATGTCTCTGTAAATAAAAGGCCATTGTATATTTGCTTGCAAAAGAGTGACGTCACGGAACATGATTAGTGTCAGATTTGGGAAGACGTTCCCTCACTTCTGTTTCACCTTCGGGAAGAGGTAACGGCTACACGTAAGCTAAATTACGTGGTGCAAAATCACCGGATAGTTAGCACGCAATAACCCCCGTCTACGACAATATTTTTCTCTAAATACTTCCTCAGTTGTGAAGAAACAAAGCCAGAGCCCTCTTTCACTAAATTTCCGTTTTTTCGACGCCCTTCTGCTGCCGTTAGTATCAAGAAAAAAATAATCAAATATTAAAAATGATAATCTACTCTTCACGGAAGTTATATCAAAATTG